ACTTGTGGAAGAGCCTTAAAAAGGTTACAGTGGGCTAAGGGAAAGTCTGGACTGATATGCAGGACCTGTGACAAGTCTTCCCTTTCTGCCTGACCAACGCCACCCGACATCTACCTGCAAGACATACACCCACAGCCACCACCACGACCAACACCAACGGCAGCAGCAGCACATCACCGTCATCTCTATTATCATCTCTTCCGAGCACAGAAACCTCTTCCTAGGTGTCTCCCCTCTCCAACTCCATCTGCTTACAGGACTCTTGGAAAGGTCACACACACCACAACCCAACTCTTTTTGTGTCTTTCTATTTCAACAATGCCCCGAGTTTTTGTGGGTTTTTTTGTTTTTTGTTTTGTTTTAAATAATAAATATATCTTTATTGATTTCAGAGAGAGGAAAGGAGAGGGAGAGAGAGAGAGATACATCAATGATGAGAGAGTCATTGATCGGCTGCAGCCCGTAACCCAGGCATGTGCCCTGACTGGGAATCGAACCCTGATTGCCTGGATCCTAGGTCGACGCTTAACCACTGAGCCACGCCCGGCCGGGCTGCCCCGAGTTTTTGGACCCTCAGACTACGTTCGAATGTTGATGATGCAGAAAGTGGCTGAAGCCAGATAGGCAGTGACTTTTGAAAAATGTCCAATACCTTGCCCTGTCCAATAGCTCAGTTGGTTAGAGCAACATCCCAATACATCAAGGTTGTGGGTTCGATCCCGGGTCAGGGCACATATAAGAATCAACCAATGAATGCATAAATAAGTGGAACAACAAATCAATGCTTCTCTCTCTCTCTCTCTCTCTCTCCTCCCTCCGTTTGTCTCTCTCCCTTTCTCTCTCTCTATAAAATCAATAAATAATTATTTTTAAATAAAAAGAACCAATACCTTTCTTGCCTCTTGTACTGGTTTGGAAGTTCAGTCATTTATGAGGAGTTAAGACTAGTTAGTCCTTAGAAGGATTTCCTCTCTCACACACACACTCTTCACTCACAGCTCCATTCCCCACTCATCCTCAAAGGAAAGAAGTACAGTGCCTGGAGTATAACAGGGGTTCGGGAGGGGACCATTTCTCTTTCTTGTCCCTTTCTTCAGACTGGAGAAATAAGGGAGAAAAAGAATTTAATTCAGGAAATATACATGTACCTACTATGTGCTCAGCACAGTGGTTGTCATGGCTGGTGGGTAAAATGACAAATAAGGTCCTGACGTGAGTTTTGGGTTATCACAGGGTAATAGTACAGAGTGAGCTGGAAGCTCAGAGGCCTGGACCGAGTTTGGACTTTTGGGCAAATTACTCCCCACTTATTTGGACTTCAATGGCCTTCCCTTTCTATACAGCAAAGACCTTTGACTAGTTTGCTACTAAGGTCCCAGCCAGCTCTAAAGTACTCTAAGTGGGTAGAAAACAGACTAGTCTCACTGCACAAGGGATGCTTGCCATGGTCTTCATTCTTCCTCTCTGACCATTCCTTCTCCCCTCTGCCTTTCCCATCCTTAAAGTTGGGAGTCCCAATAGGTCCCTAGTAGCTAAGCCCTTACCTCCTCTCACATCATGTTCTCTCCACATAATCTCACGCACTCCCTGCCTCCCTAGGTTTTCCTCTCTTTAGAGGCTTCTGCAGAGAAAACCCCCTCCAAGGAGACTTCCTGGGCTTTGAAGTCATAATTAATCACTGTCCTTCATATGCACATGGAATCTGTCCCTTTAGTTTGACAGCTGTGTTACTTAGTTGAGGATGAGTCTCTGCTCCTGCCTCCCCCACCGTGAGGCTGGGTTCCCAACAGGGAGAAACTATCCTCTTTATTCCTTCGTGCCCCTCATAAACCCAGCACCGAAAATAGACCTCAAATAGATGTTTGCTGACTTCGGTCTAATTGAAGAGCATAGAATTTCAGAAGAAGTCTTAAAAGCAGCATACATAAGAAAAAGTTAGAAACAGTAGGTGACTGCAAAGTGCAATGTGTGTTAGCATATACGCGCCTCCTGTGTGTCACTGCATTCCGGGAACAACAAACAGCCTTGTTTGCTCTTGGCCTGTCAGGTGCAGGGGACGAAGGAGGGGCAGAAGAGGGGAGGAGCAGGTGTGTGCTGGAGCCCCAGGGCCTGGCAGAGGGGGGAGGTCTAGGCCTTCCCCCAAGGTAGCCCGGGGCCCTCTCATCCTGTCAGCCAGGCTTAACTCGAGGCCTACGTGTGTGGACCCTCCATCTCAGCTCCAAAGACCTGAATATTCCCCAGTTAGCACATTTTTTCTGGATGAAAAAAAACCTTCCTTTGGAAAAATGAAAGAGAAAGAAAGAGATGGAAAGAGACCCTGTAAAAGAGTAAAAAAGGGACCAAGACACACAAGGATATTGGGAGAAAGGGCAGCACAGGGGCCTCCCAGTACATCTCTCCCAACTTGCCTGGTCCCCTTACTAGGGGATCCTGACTAGGGCTGAAAATGTTTGTGTCTATAGCTATGCTTCTTCCCTCAATTGTAAGTGCCTATGGAAGTAAAATCTCTAGTTGAACAAATATTTGCTTGCACGTAGTAATTAGAATGAGACTGGGGGGGTGTTTTTAAATGCCCCGAAGAACTCAGGGAAAGAATATAAGTCAGGGTTTTACATTCCCAGCTCAAGGCCCATGGAAGGGACCTGAAAGTTTCTATGGCTGTCCTATGGGACAAATTATGTTCCCAATCTCACATGTCTCTTCTGTTAAAATTAGGTAGTTGGTAGGAAAGGACCATGAAAGTTAGGATGGAGACATATGTGGGCAGCTTCCAATGAACCTGTGGACCCTGAATCCCTAAGTTCTGCCGAACCTCCTTTCTCAGTAGAAACAGCCCTGAGAGCCCTTTTTGAGGAATTCAGTCTTCCCTTGTCTGAAGGGCCTCTGGCGGCTTTCCCTAAAGGAGTGGTCTTGATTTTTCTCACGATCTACCTCCATCACCTCTCATTGTTTACAGACTCATGTCCAAAGGGTGAAGTACTCACACCCAAAGCATGGTCCATCAGAAGATATAATATTCACCAAAATAATCGCATGATTTTGCCAACAGAGACCTGGGAAAATATATAGATATGGATCCCAAAGGCGCGAGATCAGCATGGAAGGAATATATCAGAGTAGACTGAATTTATTTATGAGGGCTCGTGAAGCAGCGATTCCTGATTCAATGTGTTTGCTTGAGTGGTTCTAATAGTTTGCTCAGTTGGTTGATTGAAATCTGGAAGCTGAAATGACCAAACTTCTTTGAATACTATAGAAGAAAGTATCCAAAAGCTAAGGAAGATTGGAATGCTAGATTTTTTCCCATAAGACCTGTTTATCTGCTCCCTAAATATGTGGAGGGTCCATAGGACACTTCTTTCTGAGAAAGAATGTATTTCTGAGAAATACATTCATGAGGAAAGCCCTGATATCCTTGAATAGCTCTATTATGGCTATTCTCTATAGGCCAGAAATGATAGCAGGCATTCAGTGGGGATGATGGGATCCCAGGTTAGCAGGGACCAAGTAATGGTACTTTTTTTCTTTTAATCTTCACTGGAGAATGTTTTTATTGATTTTAGAGAGCGAGGAAGAGAGAGAGAGAGAATTTGATGTGAGAGAAGCATCGATCGGCTGCCTCCTGTACGAGTCCGACCAGGGATCGAGCCAGTCACCTAGGCATGTGCCCGGACCGGGAATCGAACACGCAACCCTTCGGTGTACGGGGCCAACGCTCCAACCGACTGAGCCACCTGGCCAGGGCCAAATAATGGTACTTACTCACCCATGACGACTAGGTATGGTTACTGTAATGGGCTCATGAAAATGGGCTCACGGAAAATTTACTTTTCACTGTGCTTATAAACAAGATATTTACATTTAATTTTTAAAAAATTAAAGATCTGCGCAGTCACAGGTGAATCTGTCTGGAGCGTCTGCTTCAAGACGCCTCGCGGATAAGCAGAGGTCTGAGGGGCCCCGGTGGCGGGGTGGCTCGCCCACGGTCACCGGCGAGCGACAGGGCCCCTGCCCCGATCGCACCGGGTGCGGAAGAACGAAGGGGGTACGCTCCCGGGCGCTGGGCGCCCCTCGACTCGCCCGGGACTCCGGCGCCCGCAGCGCGCAGGATTTGGAGGGTCCGGGCTTTGGAAAAGGCAGCCAGCCCCACCCACCCCTCC